AATACCCCACCCCACCATATCTGCAGGTGGATCCAGACTTCATGGGAAAGCACACATTAAAGGAACAGAGGAGGGATGGGGCATAGACATCAGAGGCAGGAACCCAGGAGCATTCCTCTGGACTGTACCCTCTCCAGTGCACCAAGTATTGGATCTGTCCTCTGAACACTCATGAATCAATGATGCTGAGTATTTGATATTCTTCATGATTATCAACCAGAATAGGACGTGGACATGGCACCGAGGTGCTGTAGTGATTACACAACAAGGGTTTCAAGAGGGAAACATGAAACACATTAGAGATGTGCATGCTAGGAGGAAGGTCAAGTGCCTAGCCTACAGGGTTAACCCTTCAAAGTATACGAAATGGCCCAATGAAGCAGCGGGCCAGTTTTTGTGAGGGAACATGGAGCTGTAGTTTGTGCGAAGACAGCCAGACCCTCTCTCCGACCTGATAGGTAGGTGCAGGTAGGCGTCTGTGGTACAGGGATAGCCCGGAAGAGGCATTAATAGCATTATTGTGGGCGAACTCCGCCCAGGGTTGCAGATCAGACCAGTTGTTCTGGTGTCTGAAATATAGCAATGCAGAAATTGTTACAAGGCTTGGTTAGCTCGTTCCGCCACACCAATGGATTGTGGGTGGTAGGTCAAGAAGAAGGAAAGCTGAATTCCCATTTGTGTACAAAAAGCTCTCCAAAATCTGGACACAAACTGGCTACCCCTATCCAAGATTATCACTTTTCATAACCCATGTAAATGAAAGACCTCCCGAGCAACAATTGAAAGTTCTTGAGAAGTTGGTAATTTTTTTAAGGGAATGCCTAGGAGTGATGTGAGGTTAGTATGGATAGTGGTTAGTATACGGAATCACAGGAGTAGGAGTTACCTCCTCCATAGATGGAGTAGAGAACTGTCAAGACAGGGCATCAGCCTGAACATTTTTAGTACCAGGCATATCAGAAACCACATGACTGAATCTTAATTTGAAGAAAGCCCATCTAGCTTGCCGAGGGGAAAGCCGTTTAGCTTCAGAAAGATATGTAAGATTCTTGTAGTCTGTGAGAATGAGAACTGGCACTGAAGTACCCTCAAGAAGGTGCCTCCGTTCTTTGAGAGCAAAAATTATAGCTAGACGTTTTCTATCTATGCATTCCGCCGGGTTCAATTTCTTCTAGAAATATCCGCATGGATGCATGCATGCATGGAGCTCTCAGGGTTAGGACATTGAGACAGGAGGGCACCTACTCCTGTCTCAGATGCATCGACTTCAAGAATGAATGGTAAAGTAGGGTTAGAGTGTGCCAGTATTGGAGCTGCAGCAAACAGTGCAGTGACTTTGTGGATTACCATTTCTCCTGGTCATATCCATGTGAGGTTTAACCAAGCAATAAAAGTTGTGTATGCATTTCTGATAATAATTGGAGAAGCCAAGAAAATGCTGTATACAGCGAAGGCCCGTAGGTTGAGGCAATTGTAGTACAGCGGAAAGTTTCTCTGGATCCATAGAGAATCCAGCGTCAGAAATAACATAGTCCAAAAATGTAACCTGTTTGTGGTTAATCTTTACATTTCTCCAATTTACAGAAGAGATTATTATGATGGTTTTTGAGAGATGTGGAATTTCATAAGAATATCATCGAGATAAACCACCACACATTGCTGCAGCATATCATGCAGGACATTATTTATAAATTCCTGGAAAACCGCTGGAGACCAAAGACCATTGCTAGGTATTCATAATGCCTGCTGCTGGTGTTAAATGTAATTTTCCATTCATGGCCCTCTTTTATCCTGACAAGATTATATGCCCCTCTCAAATTGAGTTTAGTGAAGACCGTAGCTCCCTTGAAGTGGTCAAATAATGCCATGATCAAGGGAATGGGGTAGGCATTCTTAATAGTGATATGACTGAGACCCCTGTATTCTATCCAGGGTCTCAACTTGCTACTCTTCTTTTCCACAAAGAAAAACCCAGCCCCGGCAGGAGTGGAGGACTAGCAAATGAATCCCCCTGACAAAGCATTTGTAACATATTCCTCCATGGCTTGATTTTCTGCTACAGACAGCGTGTTAAATCTGGCCACGAGGTAGAATAGCATCAGGTTGGAGTTTGATAGCACAGTCATAATAACTTTTTTGCAGAGGCAACAAAATATACATTGCTGGGACCAAGATAATATCTCAGATTTGCGCCAATCGAATGTGGGGTTATCCTTTTGTAGTCATGTGTATTCCAAAAAAAACGGGTAATATGGATAGGGAATCACCTGGTGTTGGATCATCTCATGGTGTAGAGCCCCTACAGCCAAAGATATGAGCACAGTCTCATAGGTTACATGGGTAGGCTGTAGTGGTCTGCCATCGATGGCTTTGAAAGCTAGTGAAGAGGTGCGAGGCTGTAAGGGTATAGAGTGCTCTGACAATGTCTATGAACAAGCCTGCAGCCCCAGAATGGAGTAATTCCTGGATATTAACAGATGACTCAAGCCAAAAGAGGACAATAGGTACCACACGCCTCTCTGTCTAGGTTTGTCTTTATAGATCACAACAAAGAGGAGTTAGGCGCTCACTAAATAAACAAAAGGTGGGCAGCAGTGAACCAAGCAGGAATTCCCAATACCTGCTCACAGTAGTAAAACAGAAGAGACAAAAGTGGTAAACCGCGCCCAAACAGTGCAAATAATAATTAAAATATATACATACAGAGAGTCCTCTAATTAGGAATGTATAAAACCTTCAAGACAAAAAAGTACAGAACAATAATAGTGCAATATGTCAAGTGAAATAAGAGTATATAAAAGCTTATAAAAGACTCACTCACACTTTGCAGAGCTACTCAGAGCTCTGCCGTATAGCGCCTAGACGGTATAATCCCCGTCTCAGGATATCAAGTGATGGTATAATGCGGTATCCAATCCTCCACAGTGGTATATGGAAAGATAAAAATAGAAATAAAATCCAATAGTGTAGTATATCTATTAAAAAGTGTGCAAATAAAGGAAAAGTATCCTACTTACAAATTTCAGAGCAAATATCTTGCTCTGGTATAGACAGCATGTGGTGGTATGATCCCCACCAAAGGATATAAGTCAGGATTCAAGATGTATCAGGAACAACAAATAAAGTAGTAAAAACTATAACTTTATTGTTACAAAATAAAAAATATGTAATAAAAGTATCAGATCTCTTACTTAACGCGTTTCGCCCGGTCTGGGGCTTCTTCAGAAGTAATAAGTCCAAAATTCAATGGAGTCCTCTTTATATAAGTGTTCCTGATTAATGTGATTTAGTCCTGATGCAATTTCACTTCCTACTTCCGGGTCGCGTGTGTCGCCCGGAAGTGATGTCAGCGAGTCTTTTCGTAGCTTGCTGGGATACGTAGTATCCCTCCATTCATGTTGTGTGCGGCTCCCGGAAGTGACATCAGCGTATCTCCCAATGGTTGATGGGACATGTAGTTTACATTGTCCATTTCTCTATAAACACTGTTTCGTCACCCGGAAGTGATGTATCACGATCTGGTATTGTTCATGGGAATTGTAGTTCGGCAAATTGCCGATATGGGATACGATACATATAAGAATAAAATAAGTAAATTATGTAACTAACAAGGTGATAAAATTTAAAGAAAGAATGTAAATATAAAAACATATAATAAAAGCAAATAAGACATATGTTTAATTACAAAAGATAGCCAGCACTTTTTATTTTTTTTATTTTTTTTAAAGACATCATAGAGCTATACACACAAAATATATAGGTTTATACCAGGTGTTGCATACCAGAAAATAAGCATGCATAGAAATCTATAAAAATAACCAATATTATAAAAATATGCTATACACAAAGTGAACCATGCACATATATGGAGATCTTAAAGTGATACACAGGGGAGGTGGTGTGTAAGCAATAACAATAGTATATAAATATGCAAAGTATATAAAAACTGGTGTGAAAGATTTTTTTCTTTTAATATTTATTATAAAAAATTAAAAAGATCAAACTCTGCATTAAGACCTTTAGGGTGTAGTGTGTCTAAAAAATAGACCCACTCCACTAGAAACATAGAAAAAGGGCTAAAAACCCACTTGGTATCCTCACATTTTGAGTTACATGGTAATGATCCACAGCACTTAAAATTTATGGGCATTTCAAAATTGTCCCAACACTGGAGAGGTGGTGATATAATTAATAAATTGGGCAAGAAAGAAATGGAGTGGGTCTATTTTTTAGACACACTACACCCTAAAGGTCTTAATGCAGAGTTTGATCTTTTTAATTTTTTATAATAAATATTAAAAGAAAAAATCTTTCACACCAGTTTTTATATACTTTGCATATTTATATACTATTGTTATTGCTTACACACCACCTCCCCTGTGTATCACTTTAAGATCTCCATATATGTGCATGGTTCACTTTGTGTATAGCATATTTTTATAATATTGGTTATTTTTATAGATTTCTATGCATGCTTATTTTCTGGTATGCAACACCTGGTATAAACCTATATATTTTGTGTGTATAGCTCTATGATGTCTTTAAAAAAAATAAAAAAAATAAAAAGTGCTGGCTATCTTTTGTAATTAAACATATGTCTTATTTGCTTTTATTATATGTTTTTATATTTACATTCTTTCTTTAAATTTTATCACCTTGTTAGTTACATAATTTACTTATTTTATTCTTATATGTATTGTATCCCATATCGGCAATTTGCCGAACTACAATTCCCATGAACAATACCAGATCGTGATACATCACTTCCGGGTGACGAAACAGTGTTTATAGAGAAATGGACAATGTAAACTACATGTCCCATCAACCATTGGGAGATACGCTGATGTCACTTCCGGGAGCCGCACACAACATGAATGGAGGGATACTACATATCCCAGCAAGCTACGAAAAGACTCGCTGACATCACTTCCGGGTGACACACGCGACCCGGAAGTAGGAAGTGAAATTGCATCAGGACTAAATCACATTAATCAGGAACACTTATATAAAGAGGACTCCATTGAATTTTGGACTTATTACTTCTGAAGAAGCCCCAGACCGGGCGAAACGCGTTAAGTAAGAGATCTGATACTTCTTTTATTACATATTTTTTATTTTGTAACAATAAAGTTATAGTTTTTACTACTTTATTTGTTGTTCCTGATACATCTTGAATCCTGACTTATATCTTTTGGTGGGGATCATACCACCACATGCTGTCTATACCAGAGTGTCAGGTATACCTAACATTCATGCTGCCGCCGGAACCCACTTCCGGGTTCACGGCGCTTAGCTCCGCCCTTTTTTCTGACGCGGTCTTTCCACGATACTTAGGAAGACCGCGCCAGATTCAAAGGGCTGGATTATTCACTCAGGTGCGGCAGTAAGATCAGCTGCTCTACTCGATGCTACCGGCTCCTCTCTCAGACCTCGGCTTGTAAACGGATTTCTACCTTCTCATCTCTCAGACCTCGGCTTGTAAACGGATTTCTACCTTCTCATCTCTCAGACCTCGGCTTATAAACGGAATTCTGCCTTCTCCTCTCCCAGACCTCGGCTTGTAAACGGATTTCTACCTTCTCATCTCTCAGACCTCGGCTTGGACAAACGGACTTCCTTTCTCTCACTACTAAACTGCAGTTTGTTAAAAGAGACTCCTTCCTCTTCCTCCATTGGGTGAATTAACCCTTCCAGTGCCAGATTGCTTCTAAGTTAAGTAAATCTTTTGTCAAGGAAAGCAAGTCATATAAATTTATTATAGTATTTAATTTCTTTAAACTCTCTGTTGACAATAAGCATTGCATTTTTCCTTGCATGTGTATTTAAAGATACAGTCTACCTTGTTCACTTCAATAAAATAAAGGAGGTGAAACTTATTGTTTCTGCAGTTGAGTTCCAATTAAAGAGACATTACACAAAAGCATCACACAGAGCAAGATATTTGCTCTGAAATTTGTAAGTAGGATACTTTTCCTTTATTTGCACACTTTTTAATAGATATACTACACTATTGGATTTTATTTCTATTTTTATCTTTCCATATACCACTGTGGAGGATTGGATACCGCATTATACCATCACTTGATATCCTGAGACGGGGATTATACCGTCTAGGCGCTTTACGGCAGAGCTCTGAGTAGCTCTGCAAAGTGTGAGTGAGTCTTTTATAAGCTTTTATATACTCTTATTTCACTTGACATATTGCACTTGACATATTGCACTATTATTGTTCTGTACTTTTTTGCCTTGAAGGTTTTATACATTCCTAATTAGAGGACTCTCTGTATGTATATATTTTAATTATTATTTGCACTGTTTGGGCGCGGTTTACCACTTTTGTCTCTTTTGTCTTTATAGATCTCTGGGGGTGCGAAAAGGCCACCCATGGTCTGTCCCTGACAGTGCCTTATTTGCATGCATTTTCCTGGACGAATCAAGCAAGACTTGGTGACTCTGATGTCCACAGTATAGGCACATGCCTTCCCTCCTCCTAAAAGCCCTCTCCTAGACAGAGCGGCATGTAGAGACTAACAATCTCGGCTCCACACCACCAGCGGACTAAGGACCAGGATACATGGAAGGTGAGGGAGGCTTGAGTAGTGAAGAAAAGCTTGGTGACAAATATACAGGAGGCCTCAGCAGGTGCTCCCTGAATGAGGATCTCTCTCAGAGTCTGAGGCCAATGAGGATGACAAAGAATATCAGTTCCTCAAGATCTTTTTAAATTCTCTGGCTGAAATCTCATCCTTAATAGCATCAGAGAGCCCATGTGATAAGGCAGCCATAAGACTCTCATTGTTCCAGCCACCTTCTGCTGCCAGAGTGCGGAATTCACTGGTATTCCCAACAATTGTTCTCATGTCCTGTGCATTAGACATGAGTTATTTGGCAGCAGAGCTGGAGCGAGCTGGAATATCAAATACCCTTTTAAAGGATGCAACAAATTCAGGGTAATTATAAATTATGGGTCTCTCTGCCTCCCAGAGAGGATTTGCCAAAGCTAGGGCTTTATCAGACAGCAAAGAAATCATGAACCCAACTTTGCTTCTATCTGTAGGAAATGCCTGGGGAACCATGTCAAGGTATCCTCTAACCAGGTTTAAAAATCATCTGCACTGAGCTGGGTTGACCCCTGTCCAAACATAGTGCTTATGGTTGTGAACTTAAAGCTCTATTTACAGTGTGCCAGAAGCTGTGAGGCGTCTCAAAGTGTTGTCAGGCATATTATAAATAGGCTTTTTTATGGCATTGGTGCAGTAAAGGCTTCTTTCTAGCAACTCGACCACGCAGCTCATTTTTGTTAAAATATCGTCGTATTGTGCTCTTTGCAGCAACCACACCATCTTTTTCCAGAGCAGCCTGTATTTCTCATGAGGTTATCTGTGGGTTTTTCTTTGTATCCCAAATAATTCTTCTAGCAGTTGTGGCTGAAATCTTTTGTGGTCTACCTGACCATGGCTTGGTATAAAGAGATCCACAAATTTTAAACTTCTTAATAAGTGATTGGACAGTACTTACTGGCATTTTCAAGGCTTTGGGTATCTTTTTAAAACCTTTTCCATCTTTATAAAGTTCCATTATCTTCTTACACAGGTCTTTTGAACAGTATTTAGCCTGCTCAGTGCATCTACATGAGAGCTAACAAACCCATTGACTATTTATACACATACACTTATTGCAATGTAACAAGCCACAGGTGTGGGAAATTAAGCTTTAATTGCCATTGTAATCTATGTGTGTCACCTTGTGTGTCTGTAACTAGGCCATACATTCAAGGGTATGTAATTTTTTGATCAGGGCCATTTGGGAGATTTCTGTTATCATTATGTTTTAAAAAGTTGCTGAACAACTATGTGATACAAAATGGCTTCATTTATTCACTATCATTCAATAAAATACATTTCTGCCAGGGTATGCAAACATTTGAGCAAATATATATAGTGTGGATATGTGTGTGTGTGTGTGTGTGTGTGTATATGTATGTATGTATGTATGTATATATATATAAATATATATATATTTATATTGACTGGTGTGCAAATCTTTGTTTAACATTGTATTGACTATCCACTGACTTCAGGTTTTCAATCACATTTTTTTCCCACCATAACTTTCTTTTTTTTGCTACGCATGTACTGCCAAGCCTCAACAGCAAGCTAGTAACCATCCTCATGCTGATGTGTGGCATTGACAACAAAACAGCTGTCCATGAGTGGTTCACTGGTTTTGTATCTCTTCCTGAGTTGTGTTTCAAAGCTGTTGTATACAGCAAACACAAACTCTAAGGAATCTACGTTTAAAATGGAATGAGGCAAAAATTTCATTCTTTGTTGAGCTAATTTGCATATGCCCACCCAAAATTCTTTGCAGTAGTAACATCACTTCAATTTGTGATTTCTGTGGGAAAACCAAGTCTTATGGCTTGACTGTTGTGCAGATCTTTGTTTAACATCGTATTGAATATATATACACAAACATATAAATATACCTACCCATAGGTAAATTTGCAGGTTATATAGGATATAATTTAATATAGGAAATAATTAAAAATTTCTATATATATTTGTAAATGACAGTGTTGTAATAACAAATCACAACATTAAAGCAAAACTCTAGTGTCAGGAATACAAAAGCTTATTCATGATCCTGTAGGTCTACATGCACCAACTATGTAAAAAGTGATTTACTCGCTTTTTTTTCCAGCGCCGTGAAGGTCTCCTCGCAGCTGCCTCCTTGGGTGAGATCATCAAATATGATGATATCAGCCAATCCATGCGCAATAGCATCAGGAGGCTATTGCACATGTGCAGCAGAATGTGGCATTGTGCCAATCAGCATCTCCTCATAGACTAGAGTTAGTATTATAATTTTATTACATTGTATAGGAATACCTACAGTATCTCACAAAAGTGAGTACACCCCTCACATCTTTGTAAATATTTTATTATATCTTTTCATGTGACAACACTGAAGAAATTACACTATGCTACAATGTAAAGTAGTAAATGTACAGCCTTATAACAGTGTAAATTTGCTGTTCCCTCAAAATTTGCTGTTCCATTTATATATAAACCGTTGGCAACAAAAGTGAGTACACCCATAAGTGGAAAAGTCCAAATTGGGCCCAATTAGCCATTTTCCCTCCATGGTGTCATGTGATTTGTTAGTGTACCAAGGTCTCAGGTGTGAATGGGGAGCAGGTGTGTTAAATTTGGTGCTATCGTTCTCACACTCTCTCATACTGGTCACTGGAAGTTCAACATGGCACCTTATGGCAAAGAACTCTCTGAGTATCTGAAAAAAAGAATTGTTGCTCCACATGAAGATGGCCTAACCTATAAGAAGATTGCAAAGACCCTGAAACTGAGCTGCAGCATGGTGGGCAAGACCATACAGCATATTCACAGGACAGGTTCCATTCAGAACAGGCATCTCCATGGTCGACCAAAGAAGTTGAGTGCATGTGTTTAGCATCATATCCAGAGGTTGTCTTTGGGAAATAGACTTATGAGTGCTGCCAGCATTGCTGCAGAGGTTGAAGGAGTGGGGGGGTCAGCCTGTCAGTGCTCAGACCATATGCCGCACACTGCATCAAATTGGTCTGCATGGCTGTCATCCCAGAAGGAATGACAGCCATGCAGTTTGCTGAAGACAAGTAGACTAAGAACATGGATTACTGGAACCATGTCCTGTTGTCCGATGAAACCAAGATAAACTTGATTCAGATTGTGTTAAGCATGTGTGGCGGCAACCAGGTGAGGAGTACAAAGACAAGTGTGTCTTGCCTACAGTCAAGCATGGTGGTGGGAGTGTCATGGTCTTGGCCTGCATGAGTGCTACCGGCACTGGGGAGCTACAGTTCATTGAGGGAACCATGAATGCCAACATGTACTGTGACACACTGAAGCATATCATGATCCTCTCCCTTCGGAGAATGGGCCGCAGGGCAGTATTCCAATGATAACGACCCCAAACACACCTCCAAGATGACCACTGCCTTGCTAAAGAAGCTGAAGGTAAAGGTGATGGACTGGCCAAGCATGTCTCCAGACCTAAATACTATTGAGCATCTGTGGGGCATCCTCAAATGGAAGGTCTCCAACATCCACCAGCTCTGTGAGGTCGCCATGGAGGAGTGAAAGAGGACTCCAGTGGCAACCTGTGAAGCTCTGGTGAACTCCATGCCCATGAGGTTTAAGGCAGTGCTGAAAAATAATGGAGACCACACAAAATATTGACACTGGGCCCAATTTGGACATTTTGGAGATTTCCATTTACTCACTTTTGTTGCCAACAGCTTAGACATTAATGGCTGTGTGTTGAGTTATTTTGAGGGGACAGCAAATTTACACTACTTACTACATTACATTGTAGCAGAGTGTAATTTCTTCAGTGTTGTCACATGAAAAAATATACTAAAATATTTACAAAAATGTGAGGGGTGTACTCACTTTTGTGAGATACTGTATATTTAATTTTTCAGTGTCTTCAATGAAGATGTCAATTCTACCTTGCTTACATTCTTTTTTTCAACAAGTTTATTTTTTAAAATAAATGCTTTATCCTTAATTAAACATGCGTTTGTAAAATTCCTATATAGTCTAATTAGTTGACTCTTGTGAATACTATTTTAACACAGAGCGTAGTAGCATCTAATGGAATCTATGAAAGTGCTAATGTGTACTTCTTTGAAAAAGGTGTGGGGAATTAAGTTTATTTTTCTATATATATTTCAAGATCTAAAAAGTGAATTAATTTCTTCTTAATATCAAGTCAGTATAATTCTTCTCATACCTTTTCTTAAATTGACATGTGTATTTTCAACCTTGTATGTATTCACAAATGAAATAGGCACTCTGCACCTGGTAATATATGGATACTGTCTTCTTCAAAATATCTATAAAGGAAAACAGTCTTATCTTTTCACTCACTATACTGGTGCTTAACCCCTTAAGGACCAAACTTCTGGACTAAAAGGGAATCATGACATGTCACACATGTCATGTGTCCTTAAGGGGTTAAAGGAACTGTAATGGCTATTAGCCCACATGACAAGATATAAACATTTAGATATGTGTAATGGTTGCTACATTTTACCTCTATATTTTATATGTTCTAATGAAGTTCAATAAAAGATATACATAATGTCAAACCTTTTGTAGGCTCTAAAATCTATTTATTTCCTAAAGGTTTTGAATGCTGAACATCTACTAATATAACCTTTCTACCATGGGTATATGTATAAAAATATTTTTGCATACAAACCTTTTTTTAATGGAGCATAGACAGTAATATGCAGAGAAGTTTTTGGTCAACACCTCTTACAATATGTTTTGCATGAATCATACATACACATACACATATATATATATATATATATATATATATATATATTTTTTTTTTTTTAATTCTTTATTTTTGTTTGCGCATGAGAACCATACAGTGTAATCTGCTATGCCCCACCAGCCTAAACAGAGCTTGTGTAACATTCCAATACAATTGGTTAGCATTGTGACTAAATAGCACATTTTCTGAATAACTGCATACTACATGTACAGTGACATGCAGATAAATGCAAGTAATAAAGCAGAAACGGCATGGTGCACATCAAAGCCATTGTACATATTAGGACAAATTCAATGGTAAAGTACATTATAAATTGATATATTA